GCTAAGCCAGCCTATACGTACAATGTACAGACCCACTGCTGCCTGGCCCCCAACGATGTCACCATACCATGGGAAGTTCTTTCCCTTGGGGTAACCTTGCCACTAAGGGCTCCTGCTTGAAATGCAGGACCCCAGGAGAAGGTGGAAAGGAAGAATTTTCCGGGGGTAATAGAAAAACACCAAGCACAGGGGCTGGGGAATAGGGGTAACACAAGGAAGATAAAAAAAACACAAGGGAGGTAAGAGACCCTACAGGTCATCTTGCCTATAGTGCTGATGGCAGTACTCATGATAGGGAGGGAGTATGCACATAATCCCTACTCACCAGTACAGCCATTTCATTACAGTCTAACAGCCAGGAGCTGAAGAGACCCAGTCCAACCCTGGGGGATCTGTCCAGCGTGACCCATTAGTGCTGGAACCCAGAGTCACACTCTGTGGAGTGGGTCCCAGCTCCACCATACACCACCTGGAATTAGTGACTCTCAGTTTTCCCATCTGTAACTGCGGACGATGACAGTAGCCACTTCAAAGGTTTGAGGGTGAGAATTAAACGCGGTAGGACGCCTGGCACACAATCAGACCTCAACAGGGCTTTGCCACAGGCGTTGCCCTTCGAGGTCCAACTCGAGACTCACCCCTCCACGGAAGCATCTCTGACTTCTACATGGAGCTCTTGGAGCACTCGTCATCCAGACCACACAATTTATTACCTAATTATACAGTCTTGAAACAATTAGGGAACAATTCAATACGGCATAATAAAGTGCTGCATTGAATTCCATCAAATTCCTTCCAGCTCTGAAATATGACAGTTCCAAACCCCATATTGTGCAGTGCACACTAGAGACACACTCAGATCTCAATCCAGAGAGAAGAGCTCTGGCTCAGGCCCTTGGCACTCAGCTTGGGGCTTGCTCTTTTCGCCTGTGGCTGGCGCTACCTTTCCACTAGGAAGCTCCTGTACCCCAACCTGTAGTCCAGCTGTACAGGGAGAATGCTGTTCCAGGAACAGGCAGCAGCTTGGCCAGCTCTGCTCTAGACGTCAGAGAGAAGTGTCTCTTGAGTTGTCTTTGCACACCTCCTCTTGCCATCCCAGACCAGGAGAGACAAGGCCATGCAGAGTCTGGGAAAAGAGGTTGATGAGGCCGGCTTCCTGTGGACTGGAATTTAGAGGGTCCTGAGGGCTCTGCATGCACAGGGGTCTGGCCCACTTCTCCAGGGCAGGAGGCTCCTTGGGATTTGGGGAATGCCTGAGCAAACACGGAAGGGTTTACATGTTCTGGCCAGAGAGTCCGGTGTGTGCGTGATGATAGAAACAACCCTCTGTGCAGACACATCTTATAGAATGTAGAGTTAAGGGGGCTACCAGGGAAGGCTTCAGGGAGGAGGTGGGATAGGTAGTGGATACTGGCAGGAAGACAGGGACTAGGATGTGGAGCAGGGTGCAGTTGGCAGAAGCTGAGTGAAGCCCTTTGTGCTGTGTCTGAGAGTCACTGCCTGGGACCCTGCCCTCAGCCCCTGTGACTAGGGGTCCTTTCCCTGGGACATTCTGAGGTAGTGGATGCAACACTGCCCACCCTGTAGGATCAAGAACACCAAGGTCACTGCTGCCTCCTCCTGCCTTCTGAGTGGTCACTGGGCAGGCAGGCAGTTGGCCGGGCCAGGGGGTCAAAGCACTGAGCTGGCCAGGGAAGACAATGATCTCCCTCCTTCCTCCTCCCCCAACCCCATCTCCCTTCCCAGAACTGCAGTGCTCGGTGGGGGCGTGTCCCGGAGGGTCTCTCGGTCAGTTTTGGCAGAAGTACATGATCTGCCCTCACTGCTTTCTCTCTCCTTCTCCTACAACCCCTCCCCCACCTTCAGCTCCATTTTCTCACACCCCCACCCAGAACTCTCAGACCACCCTCCTACCAGCCCTTCTCAAGAGAAAATTCTCTGATCATTCCAAACGGAGAATAGGTTTGTGATTCCAAGGTTTGTTAATCCCCCTTTCTGGGGATTAATTTTCAAAGACAGTGCCTGGAGAAGACAAGGTTTAATCCAAAGGAATAAATCCCTAAGGGAGAATTCAGGGACACTAACACCGATGTTTGCTTTCTTACCAACAGCCTTTACTGTGTCGCTGCTTAGTTCCTCTTTTATTCAAGTAGCACCTATTGCATGGCAGGTACTATACTGGGGTGCTGAGAATTCAAAGATAGAGAAGCACAATTGCTGTCCAGTGGGGAGACAGAAACATAAACACATAATTTGAACTGTCTTCAAAGACCTTCCTGCTTCTTCAAAGGACCCACTTAAATAGAAGTATTTGCTGATTAAAAATTATTCCGACCCGCTTATTAAAACAGTTCCCCTAAGGACGCTTATTGGACAACACTTTTAGACCTAGACTCAAAATTCTATGTCAATTATTTTTTACAACTCACGCACTTTCCAATTTGGCCCAGACTTCGCCCAGCTCATGTCCAATGAGAAGTCCTGACCACAGCCTGCGCGAGCACTATCTGGCCTGGATTTTCTTTGGGATCCTCTTTGGAATTTTCCAGATGGATCATTTGGACCTCCTCCTTCTTCTTATAGCTCCTGGTCGAGTATACGATTTATGAGTCATTTGCTTTTTTGTCCCTCTTTATCCTCTGGTTATATAGATGGTACCTCCTGACTTCCCTTCCAACTCCGTTAATAATGAATGATAGCAGGTTGTATCATACTTCACATACCACCCAACTATACATAGCAAAATGTGGCACACGCTGAATTATTCAATCGGTGAGTAATGCCGGCATGCTCATCACATACTCCAGGCACAGAAAGTGTGCATCGGGATGATATCCTTCACCCTACAGAGCATCCTCCATGGCATCCTCCCCCGGGCCCTGCAAATCTGCTGCCAGAAGCTGTCCTGCCCATTTTGCAGAGGGTAGAAGCTGCTCCTACGCCAAGGTAAAAAATTGCAGGCATATGGGTCAGTTCTAATTACATTAACTGTTATCTCCCACATATTGCCATTTCTCAATTTTTGTGGGTACTGTTGGGGTCAACCAAAAATCGGGATCTGAAATTGGAACTGTCCCAGAAAAACTCGGGCTGTATAGTCATCGCATTTCTAAGGAGGTGCCTGGTTAAACGGTGGCTCTCCGAGGGAAATCAAGTCAGCTGGTGAGGACGACTGTTAAGTAAAGGGAGCCTTAATTCCAAAACCAAACCAGTACTGCCAGTGGCGTCCCTGACCCTGAGGGACCCTGGCTGGCGGGTAAGAGGAGGCTGGTCCGAGGAGAAAATAAAGGGGAGGGAGATGAGACAGAGAGAAGGAAAGAAAGGAAGCGGAGGAGAGAGGAAGGACATAGGGATGGAGAAAGAAAAGTGTATCAAGAAAGGGTGGCAAGAGGAAAGGAAGAGGAGAGAAGAGGTGGGTGAAACAAGCCGAGAAATTAGAGACAAAATCGTGGAAAGAGGGAGGAAGGAGAAAAGCTGCTGGCGGTCAAAGAAGTTAGAACTCTTGCGGTGGTCTCAGCCACTGCTCAGGGACGTGCCCAGAACTGGCCTCCCAGGGGCCTGTCCCATCTGACTTAGTCAATCCACTGCTCAGGGACGTGCCCAGAACTGGCCTCCCAACATCCTTCCTTGTCCAAAAAGTTCCCCACAATGCCCTCCTTGCAATGAATGCATCTGACTTAGTCAAATAGCATTTTCTAGCCCAAACCTCTTGATCTCTTCACAGAGTCCTTCCCAGGGAGGCAGACACTTGCTGACTGATCTAGACCATCCACCTCCAACCCGACCCCCCCTACCCCGTCCAGGTGGGTGGGTCACACAGCAGAGGGCTGGCATTGGAAATTCCATGGACAACTCTGGACCCCTCACTCTCCCTGGGCGACATCCCAGGGGCCCAGCAGCTGGCCAGTGCTCCCAGCACACATTTGTGGAAAGAACTGAGCTCCTAAAAAGCCAGAATAAGACCCTGATCCCAGTCCACTGCCTGCAGCCACCCCTACGCCCTAAGGCCCGTCTGTGGACACCTCTCCAACTGATTTTTGACTTTGGAACCATATCTTTTCTAAAGCATTGAACGAAATCATACATATTGGGGGTCCCTGAAAAACAAACGACTTCTCTTCTACGGGGCCAATTTAATGTTTTGGTGTTAAAATTAACAGCTATGCAAACTTAGGCCTCTTTCCCAGGGAAACAGTTCTGAGAGTTAGCCCATACTTAGAAATGCAAAATTTAGACACCCGACACTTAATCAGCCCCAGGAAACCCTTAGGTGGGCAGGTTCTGGTCACTCTCTCCAAGCAGAGAGAACATCCTTCCTTGTCCAAAAAATTCCCCACAATGCCCTCCTTGCAATGAATGCATCCTACCTGAGAACAGTCCATTTTCATTCATTCAACAAATAGTTACTGAATCCCTACTCCTGAATATACAGAGCTCCCTTAATCACTGATTTTAGCTGAAAACACTACAATAGATCAATAAAAAATGACCACGTGATTGTATGAATATTGAATCTCAGTACCGTCCTGGCGGAAATGCTTCTTCCCCAGCCAAGGTCAGCCTCACCAGCGGGCAGAAGAAGGCCTGCTTGCATAGTTGGATTTCAGAGGAGCAGGGAGCCCACCACAGACACCACCCTGATGCCACCCCCACACACATCCGCACACACTTGCAGGCTGGTATCCAAAATCTTTGCAGTAGGGAAACACCATACACCCCCACCTCAAATGGAGGCTTGAGACCCAGGCTATTCCCCAGCCATCCCCCGAACAGAGAGGGGCCAGTGAGTCCCTACTTTGTGGTGGCTGGTCCTAGTCTCTATCCCTCATGTCAAAGGAGCCAAGTCAGGATCTCAAAATGCAGTGAGGTTTGAGTCCCTATGCCTAGCCAGCTTCTTCCCTGAGGCAGCTCTGGCAGGTGGGCCATGGGGCAGAGCTCATAAGATCATCCGAGGACGAGGATGGGCTTCCCCCTCCCTGGTTATTCACGGGGGTCTGTACCTGGAGCTGGAGTCACTGCCGCTCTGCACTGCTGGATCGTCGGTGACATTAAAGAGCCCCGTCCAATTGGCCAGCTGGTCGCCACTCTGCCAACCGAACTGGAGGCCTCTGGCAAGAGAACGAGGCAGTCGGTACTCATGCTCATGTGCTGGGTTAAGACTGTCTACCAGAGAGCCACATTCTGTCATTGTTCTGAGTGACGCATGGCCTTGATCACAAACTTAGTGGGGACAAGGGTGATGTCCAACCATGAGGAGGACGACAATAAAGCTTTGCAGCGTTCTCTGCTCGTTGACACCCATCCCCTCATTTCGCCTTTACCAGCAGAGCTGAGGTTACACACTGTACATGGGGAAACTGAGGTTTAGCTGGATGAAGGTCACAGCGTCCTCCTACCTCCCATGTGGTATGTCCCTCAGTTCCCGCCTCTAGCAACTTATTCCAGAAGAGCTCTCACTCGCCAGCACTGTGCCATCCTCAGAGGCCAGACACACCGCAAAGCTTTTAATGAAACCTTGTTTTCCAACGCAGAAGGGCACTCCTCCTAGTTTAAGATGATGGACTCGACACACATGGTTATCTCCGATCCCTCCCCAAACCAGGCTGAAATGACAGCAAAGGAATAAATAAGGACATGAGCTGGGAGACGGAGATAGAAGGCGGCAAGAGACAACATTTGGGGAGATGAAAAGCAGGTGGGTAATTGCCTTAGACCACAGAGAGTGGAATCTTGACTGTCTGTAAGAAGCAAATCTGTTTAATGTAGGAAGGAGGCAAGAGAACTAAAAGTTAAATCAAGCTATATTCAGAGACTGCAAAATGCTGATCAGCCCTGCAGCCGCACCACAAGAGGAAATCGGCAGAACAAAGGCTGATTTCTGCTGGGATTGCTAGCACACACACTGTGCAGGGAAAACAGGAAAACAGAGTCTTTAAGTCGTGCCCCACACAAAACAAAATCATTCGTTCCCTATGGCTAAAACCAAGGGGAACCTATGGATCAAAGTCTGGGAATGGCCAGCAGGTCTTTCATGCTACATACTCTATCCTTTCACACGGCATACCCATACATACCATCAAAGGAAAATGGGCAAACGAAGTCTTTAAACAGTAATTCATAGCAACTAAGAGTGATATATAAACTGAATTCCCCTAACACTTGGGATCCCTGACAGCGTCTTTTTCTCTGTCCCTCTAACTGTCTCTGTCTCTCTCTCTCTGTTCTCTGAGTCTCTCTCAGGCTGAAAGGAGACCACACTCTACAGAATGGTATCCTTTCCCTAATCCACTTTCCTTTCGACTCTAATTCCGGCGTGCGTTTGAATTCTCTCCTGCGCTCAGTCCAGACCGCTCTCTCTGGGTGCAGGCCCGCTCGGGGAATTTGCCCTGTTCTGCATCATATTTACCACACGCAACTCACTTTCCCTGAACAACTCATCATCTCCATGCTCCTTGGCCCATTTAGACTGTTCCAGACCCCGTCTAAAACATCCAATGAAAACCCAATATGGGGAGCGATGTCAGGCCTCTGGGGTCTGGACAGAGAATGAGTGGAGCGGAGGCAGCAGGAACTAAGGTGTACGTTCTGCCTGCCGGGGTGGGTGCCCTGAGCTCCAACCCACGGCTGCCATATGGGAAGATAGGCGCCTACAACAAAATGCCACTTTGTTCATTTTTCCAAGAGATGTTGGATATCCAGACTTTTACTTTCCCAGATTTTAAATGCCGGCTGTTCATTTAAACCTGAAACACCACGAAGACCAATTACTCCATGCTGCAGGCTGCGTGCAGCCCGGAGACCCCCCACGGGCAGCCCCCTACTTATATCATCTTGCTCCATCCTGACCCTGGTCCTGAGAGGGAGACAGAATGGGCCTCATCCGTCACAGCTGAAGAAACTGAGGCGGAGTGTGGGAAGCGACCCCTCAGCCGGCTGGTAGCAACTCGAGGCCTGGAACCCAGGAGTCCTGACTCTCAGTTCAGTCCTTTTGTCAGCAGAGTTCTGGCTCCCGTCCCAGGAGTCAGCTGCACACAGCACATCTAGAGGTCAGCTTGGGGGCTGAGTCAGTCACCCTCAGCCTTCTGCCTGGTGCACCAGAGACATGCTCACCATCACAAAAGGCACCCGCAGAGGGAGCCCAGGTGAGCGCATTCAGGAACCCTGCTTGTAACCACCCCTTTCCCTCCCACTCGACCAGGCATATAATAGGAATGCAAATGACTGCGCTATTATTACAAGCATAACCTTGAGTCGGCCCCATTTGAAAAAAATAATGAAAGAAAAAAGTCATTCACAAAACATCAGCTCCTAACTTTCCCAGGAGGATAATTGACTGCATTATTCATTTGTATTTCCTCTCCCCCATTCCTGAGAAGGGAGCTTGGCTGTTTTTCCCTCTTACTTTAGGACCATGTGTGTTGTAGGGGCTGAAAGAAATTGTGCTACGCCATCTTGGAAGGAGGGGGGGCCTTCGGGCCTGGGGAGGGGTGGGTGGAGGAAGAGGTGAGACCACAGCTGAACAGAAAATTTCTCAGGTCTGGGAAGCCTACTCTGCTTTGGTGGTTTGAGGTTCCCTCGCCATGTCTCCCTCTAAATGGACAGCAGGGGTTCAGAAAGACCCCCACTTAGGGCACCTCAGGAGGCTGGACCTAGGGCTCTAGAAGTCTCCAAGAGAGCAGTGAGCTGACTGGCTGAGGCCGGATTGGTCCGGGGAGACCCACCCAATCTTCTCCACAGAAGCCTCCGCGACCTTCACACGACCCTAGGAGGTGGGGGTGGAGGGGAGGTGCCTCCATAATGATAGACTTAAATTTTCCACCAACTGATGGATGAGGTTTAGTCTTTCTCTCAATCAAGAGACAATGAGGCAATGAGCTATTTCTTTCACACCAAACTTGTGAAATAAAATGTACAAACATTCTTCTTTTATTAATCAGCAAATCACTTGGAGGGTACCACACAGCTGACTGAGGATACCCCTTTTTTATCCATTCATGCTATTTTTATTATACACATACATATCAAATATTTATTTTATTATATTATTCTATTTTTATCAAACAGCCATGCCAGGCTGGGTACTGGGATTCAATAATGAACAACTAACAAAGGTTCTGTCCCAACGACACTTAATTTCTACTAGAGGGAGACAGATATATCAACAAAAAATGCATCAGCGACACAATATATAAGGGATTAGATGATGAAAAATGCTGTGGAAAAGATAAAAGTAGGCAAGAAGGGTAAGGAGCTTGGAGTGGGTGAGGGGTGCTGTTCCACACAGGGTGGTCTTCTCTCTGAGAAGGTGACATCCAAGCAGGACAGGAAGTGGGTGATGAGGGAGCAGGTGGATTTTAAGGAAGAATGCTCCAGAAGAGAACTTGTGCCCGCAGTAGCCCTGGCATGAGTATGATGGCTCATTCTGGGGCTAGCAGGATGGTCTGTGCAGACAGGGCTGAGTGAGCCAGCGGCAGGTGGCAGGAAATGTGGCATCAGTTCAGAGAAGCAGTGTTGCCTTTCTATGGTCCCTCAAAGCCATCCAAGAGGGAGCTGGGCACCCTGTCATCTTCTGAGGAGCAAAGTCCTCAGCTGGGGCACCCTAGGAGTCTGTGAGGTGCACCCCCAGAGTCCGTGAGGGCAAGACCTTTCCAGGTTGTCCTCTACCACCTCCCACAGTCCTCTTCCCTCCCCAGGTCCACATAAGGAGCTGGGTGGGTGGTCAGGAGAGGCCTCTCAGAGAAGGTGCTGGGACCTTTCCACTCAGATCAAAGCGGAAATGCCTGCCAGCTGAGAAGCCTTTTCAGCTGGATGAATGGGCATAATAATCAGGTCCCACGTTCTCCCTTCCTATCCTCACTCCTGACTCACTAGTGACTCACATTCTTTATCTGTGAAGCGCCAGAAGGTAACACGCCCCCCAGAAAAACCTCAGAGGAAAAAGAAAGTGGGTTCTTTCCCCAAGGTTTGCCTGTGGGGGTCTTTCATTTGGGGCGACAGAAAAGATGCTGCAGGTAGAACATCCTGAGGGAGGAGAGGAATGGAGGGCATTCCCCAAGCTGGCCCCTCATGCTCTCCACTCCCAGAGGAGAGAGAAGGACACTGGTAGAGCAAATGGCAGGCACTGGAGTGGGTGGGGGATCCACGGGTGGCAGAGAGCTGGCCTCTTTGAGAACCCCAGGCCTGGGACCTAGGGTGCAGTGAGCAGCTGGAACCTCCTGAAATTTAAGGCTGTCCATGATTCTGCAAAGGCCTCTGACTAAGAAGCAGCTGGGGCAGGACCCGGGGGAGTTCAGGTGCTGGCATTGCCAAGCCAGGGGCAGGGGGGTGCACTCGGGGCACCCAGCCCTGGGAGGAGTCCAGAGAGAGAAACCAGACAAGCTCCTAACACAGCTCTGACCACCTGGATGTCCCCAGCCTCTGCACCGAAGAGAAGCCTACTCCACCCTCCATCTCCACCTCACCCAGCCCCCACCCCCGCCAGGCCAATCTCTAAACAACCCTGCTCCCTGGCCTGAGTTCCAGACCTTTACTGCCTGCCCAACCTCCCCTGGGGCCAGATCCACCTGAGTGGGCACCCCAGGCCATCACATAATGTCAGGCCCCTTCCAGCTACCCTTTGTTAAATATTTGGTCAACATCAGTTTCAAGGAGGAACACACACCAGCCTTCCAGCTTTCCTCTGGTGCTCAGACCCAAAACCGCACGCCACATTAGGTCTCACCTGGCTATGCACCACCCTGACTGCTGTCTTTTCTGAAACCTACAAGATTTATAATCTATGCCACACAATTAAGAATTTTATACGGTCTTACCTATTTTTCATGTTAGTCTCTTTCAGTGTTCTGGAAGTTCCTTAAAGACATGTTTCATAGCTAATAATTCTTTCGTAAGATCCCCTCTGCCCTGGCACAAAGCTGAATGGGTGTTTAATGACCGTTTGTTGATTTGTATGCATCCATTCATTCAACAACTAGTGTCAGGTGCTGTGCTAGGTCTGGGAATTCAGAGATGTATGAAACATCTCTTACAAGGGTCTTAAAAGCTGTGTGACCTTAAACAAGTCACTCACCCTCTCTAAGTATTAAATGAAGATGATTGCACCTGTTTA